TTTTTTTTCATCATAATAACATCCTATTTAATTATCCTCATAAACTTGAGAACAAGATATTGGATTGGCATATCCTAAACTTTCACAAGTTGTTAATTTTTATTCTATCTTTATTAATGCACATCCTTTATTAGTCCATTAACATGTTTATTAATGTTTTTAAATACTTAAACATCCTAATTAATTAAGAAATGGAGTAGAACATTAATCATTTACTGAACTTTGAACACATAAATTAGTTTTAATGTCATATTTACAAATAACATTTGGTTTAGATATAGCTTAACAGACATTTCCATTTAATTTCATTAATGAATTTTTTAATTCTAAAGGACAATTAGTATTTTAATTAATAAATATTGCTTAACAATTATTACCATTCCATAAACATAATTAAGAATTGTTTTTCAAATTAACACAAGCTTTTTCATTTAAATCCATATGACATTAATATAGATTAAGATCTTCTTAATTTAATTCTAAACATCTTCCTTTATAAAATGAACATCTTTTTGTTTTTATTTTAAGACAAGCTTTCTTAGATAATCCTGGAGCATTACATCCTAATTTATTAAATTCATTTATTTCAAGACTCTTACATTTTTTTTATTTTTCATCATACATACAAAATTATTATGATTATATACAAACTGAAGCATTAACTTCATTTTAAGTTTCACATTTAAATTCTTTTTCTTAAAATACTTTACATTATGAATCTACCCATTCACATAATAATTGAATTCCATTAAGTTTCATTAAAGAAATACATGCATTTTTATTTAATTTTTGGTCACATTTTATAACTTAATCTTGTTATATTGAATTACATTGACCATCTTAAAATATACCTATTTTTCAATATTGTGAAATATTACAATATTAATCATTTGTTATTATAGAAATACATGCTTTATCATTTAATCCTATATCATTACATTTTAATTTTGATATTTATCCTTTTTCAACTTCAACACATCTATAATCTCCATCATTTCCATTATTCATACCTATTTAAATATATATATATTACATAATCCAGACTGAATTTATTGACAAGTATAAGGGCTAACAGAAACATTATATTAATCGCATTGTTGAGAACTATTATTATTCTCTTCATTTAATTCTTGGCATTTATTATTCCAAAAGCATTTTTTTTTTTATACATTCATACATGCTAATTTATTGAACTACCCAAAACAACCCAATTTTTATACTTCAGCATAATCTATAGTTTGGCATTTTTCAAAAAATGCACCTATTCCATTATTATAATTTCTTACAGTATATATTTTCACCTTAACTGTTTGTTAATTAATTTATACAAGCTTCCCTATTCAAATATTGTGAACAACCTAAATTTTATTATGAAGTCTCTAAGCATTTTCCTATTGATAGGTTAAAATGACCTAAAAATGAAATGGATATAATACATTTAAAAATACTGATATTAGAGATACATTATATAGGGGAGTTTGGATAATAATTACAATTATTATTAGCAATCACAATTGGTAAATAGCAAATGATGTAAAACAAAGCAAAAAGTTAACAATAAAGTAATTATCTCATCAATATTAATTAATAGAAAAAAATAATATATTTTTATATATTTTACTTGAGCAAATAATCTATCATAAAAGATTTAAATAATTTGATGTGAAATTTTATTAAATTGTAAAAACATATATCAGCACAATTTTCATATTTATTTTAAGATATATTTTTTTATATTTTTATTATTTTACATAGTATTTAGCTTCAAAAAGTGTTCAACTTTTTTGAAAATCAATATATTTTGGCTTAAAAGCTAAATTTATTCTTTGTGAATAATTAACCAAAAAAAAAAATGCAATTTTCTAAAAATCCTTAGTTAGTTAATTTTATTCTATAACACATAGAATAAGCATATAAAGTATTTAATTTAAAATTTATGATGTTATTTCAAATAGTATTTTGTTGCATATTACTAAATGAAGAATCTGTTGCAAATTTAAGAGAAGTAAAATATTTACTATTTTTTTTTAGTAAACATAATTTTTTGATTATTATATTTTTAAAAAAAACTAATCTAAAAATAATCAATTCTTAATTTTAAGGATTTAAAATATTTTTAAATTAATTTTCTAAAAACCTGTCTTGACAGCCTTATTAATTTAAAGAATTCCATTTTTTATGATTTGCCTGAATTCAAGATTCAATGAATGCAAAAAAATAATTTTATGAATAAATCTGATCATTATGCATTTAAAATGCTAAATGTTTACTTTTAGTAATTATTGAAGATTACATATTTTTCTTTTTTCTAATCAATATTTAATATTGTTTTTATGCTTTCTAAATTTTAAGGATATTTATATATTTATTTAAACATCTATTATATGATATTGGATTTTCATACAATTTATCAGTGTTATTTAATATACTTAATAGATATATTTAATAATAATAAAGAACAAAATTATTTTTAATCCAGGGGTTTATATTAAAAGATTAAAAATACAATCTAAATTTGAAAGTATTAGGCTTCGTTATAATTTCTATAAAAGAAAGATTCTTTTATAAAATTGTAGAACAAATTCATTATTACTTAAATTCCAAATTTTATTCTATGCATTTTACTCCTTCATTTTTAATAGTGGATATGTAAAAAGATTATAAGGAAGTATTTATCTATATATTAAAGAATTGTCTTATTTATTTTTGGAATTGTACTTCAAGTATCAAATGATTATAGTTCAAATCTCTCGCCTAAGAAATATTATAATATAAAGATTCTTATTGTCAGTGTTGTTTTTGGGGATCTATTATGTTTACCTCTTCATCTATAAGAAGGATTGTGGATTTCGAGAGAGAGCAACAACCATCCCGCTCCTGACTGAAAGGATGGTTATCTATCCCTACTTCTGTATTAAGAAAACGTAGGTTTTGGAAAAATAATCATATTCTTTTATAAATAATTACTTTCCTGAGAAAATTGAGATCGTCTCACAATACACTTTTAAGATAGTTGAGAATTTTTATGAATAGTTTCAATTCTATGAATTTAATTCATACTCTTTATCTTAAGTTCATGAGTCTAAGAATTGCTCCTCCTTTAGTCCTCTTATCTTCAACCAGAAAATATTTTAAGTTATTTAAGTTCAATAAATGAAATTATAAATTATAAAATTAAGCATATCTGAATCAGGTTTTGTTGAACTAATAAAATAAATTTCTCTTATAACATAGATTTATAAATTTATAGTTTAAATACATTAATAATACAACATTTGATTATAATAAAGCTGTTTTTTTATCAAAATAATAAAATGGCTTTTAATGAAAACTTCTAATCAGAAATCTTCAAGTATAAACATTTTAAATTCATTTATTTTTTTTAGAATTCACAAATAAAAGTGTTTTTGAATTATAATAAAAAAATAAAATACTGAACACTAATTAGCTCGGCATGAACAAAAATAACTATATCCCATGAATGATGAATATTTTGGGTTCAAGTATTCAACCTACAAAAATAAGCCTTAGAGATTAAAATATTTTACATCCAAAAAAAAAGGTCATAAATATTTTTAAAAATATCAAAAATAAAATCAAATAAACAAAATTTAATTCAAAAGTTATTAGTTTTTTTCTCTATACTACCATTTTTATATTTAATCTAAAGCTTATATTATATAAATTCTCTTTTCTGAAATTCAAATCTTCTTTAATGTGGATGAATTAGTATAACCCTGAAGGAAAATAATTTGAGAAATAATGTTAATTAATTAAAAAATAAATAATATTGATATACTAATTTGAATTCAATGAAATTAATTTCATATTAATGATATGCATAAAGTTATTAGGCCTGTGATGATGATTTCTTTTTTATCTTAGGGATCAACTACATCAGGTCCTTCTTATTTTATTTAGCATTTATCTTCTTAGTAATTCCAAGAGCATTAATCTACTTAACTACACATTTCTTCATCAAATATATATTCACACTTTGTTTAACATTTTTGATTTTCCTCTCTCCATTCACATTAATAATTCATATCATTACATGAATCATAATTATTTCTAAATTAACATTATATTAAGCATTTAAGAATATTACTTTATTCTACCTATTCAATAAATGTGCAATAACTTATAGGGCATTCTTCTTTAGTTAAATAAGATTCACAATTCTTAGAAGTGCATTTATCTTTTTTTATATCATAACTACAATATTTTGACTATTATAGACAATCACAAGAATCAAAAATCTCTTCACAAGATATACAAATAGAATCACTTATTTCAACACAAAATTCTGATCCAATACGTGATCCAGAACATTATTACAATTTGCTTAAATCACTGCATCTATATTATGTACAATACTTATTATCTTCATTAACCATCCATTAGCAAGGTGTGGAATTGTATTTATATTTATTACATTCAATTTCATCATAAATTTTAGAGCAATGAATTTATTCAGAGCAAGTTTTTTCTTTTGAATCCCAATGACAGTTATTTATAATACAAGATTCCATTATTAAATATTAATTGCATTATTTTTTTTAACAAGTCTAATCAAAATTACAATATTGTTTATATGCTAAACATAGTTCTTTACTAAAATTTTCACAGTTAAATTATTCACAATTTTCAGAATTCTTTTTCTTTTAACAAGGTCTATCATTAAATTCGTATTGAGAACATTCAAACATAGGTTCAACAATATCATCACATTTTTAAGCTGACATGCATTTATTAGAACTACTCCAATAACAAATTGATTTTAGAATAGATTTTCCTTCGCATTCATCAGAAGAATAATCTTAACACTATTTTAGTATGCATTGTAAACTTTATTAATTTTCTTACTATTAAACCTTGCAATGACTCTTTAATTTACATTTATCCATTTCTTGAATTTAAGTACAATCATAAATTTCAACAAACTTTCGACATTGACATCTTTATTCTTAAAGTACACATTTTGGTTAACTTAAACATCCTTATTCACTTAGTGAATCATTATAACAAAATTCGTCGAAAGCACGTGAACATCCATATTAAAATTCATTATATTTACAAGAATCTACAGCATTTTTACAAATTAATTTATTAGCAATTGGAAATTCTTCACATATATATTATTATTTATTTAATAACTAGCAATTTTAATCAAAAAAGCAATTTTCAATTTTAACACACCCAATAATATTTAATCCAGTCAATGAGCAACTTTTTTAATCCTCATTGGGAATTTCACATTTCAAATTTTATTAATCATAATAACAAGCACCTTCTTTAACAATAGAGCAAACTTTTGAATTAACATTTGATGGTATTTAATCACAAGGTAGATATTATAAATAATCTTCACAATGATAATTTTCATTATTTGAATTCTTTAACCAAATACAAGGATGTTTTTTAATATTTAGACAAGCATATTTATTCAATCCTTCATAAGTACATTTTACTTAGTCTAAATCAACAAAATCACAGCCATCTTTCATAAATCCACATGGTAAATCTAATTTTAGTTATGAGCATAAATAAGAAGACAAATTTTATAATTTACAAGATTTATAATTTGTTAAAAGTTATTAATATCTACATTTTCTTCTTGTAGGATCCCAAAAACAATTTTAAAATTTAATATTAAGACAAGCTTCTTTATTTAATCCTTCTGTATGACATGATAAAGTCTAAACATCATCAACTTTAATGCAGAATCTCATATTTTTATCATATTTTACAATGTTTCCATTATTTATCAAACCACAAGCATTTGAATTGACATCTATTAATTATGATGGATGAAATATAATTTATTCTTTATCATCAATAATTTAACACTATTAATTATTCCATTTACAAAATACTCCTTCCTTTGCAATATTTAAACAAGATGTATAACTAAATCCAGTATCGCAATTCTCTATTTTTTAATCTTTAATTTAATTTATTTCAATACAGTTTCCATATTCTTCTTCAGATTCATCATTTTAAATAGTCTTTTTGACCTTAAATAATTAGATATTCCAATAACAATCACTTATTTTTTGTTATAAACATGAATTAATATTAATATTATCTAAACAATTATTCTTAGTTTCATCTTATACAAAAGCTGTACATTGATTATCTTTATATATACACATTTACCCTTATCTTTCAATATTCATACAAGCTCTTTAACTTCCATTATAATACGTTATATCTTCACAATTAATTTAAGCTGAACTTATCATTGAAATATAACCATCTTTATCATCTTAAGTTTCAAGATACATGCATTATTGTTCCTCTTCGTACCAAATACAAGGTAAAGACAGTATACTGCTACATTAACTTGGTGATTATAATTAATCACAAGATGTAGGTTCAATAGATTTACATATAAATTCTTTTGTATCAAGAAAACAATTTTCGATAGAATTACAAACAGCTAAACTTGAATATTTTATTTCCTCACATTATGTTGAATTTTTTGTATAAATTTAACACAAATAATCCTGCCATTAACATTTGCAATACCTTTAATTTAAACATGTTTCTATTGAATTTGCTATCATACAATTTTCACTACAATTTTCATTCATTTAGTTAGGGCCAAAACAATAATCAAGATATGAACATTTTTAATCTTTATTTGTGAATTATAGACAAGCTATTCTATTAATTCCTCTGGAACATGTAAGATTTTATATATTAGATACTACTTTACAATTGTTTTCAGCATAATCAAATATGCATCCCTTATCTTTTGGTTGTTAGCAAAATTCTTCATTATTGACATCTTTAATATCTTCACAAATAATATTTCTCTTTGTTATTAAATCTTATTATTTACATTCTCCCCCAATAAATTAACAATATTAACCTTCTGTTTAAATATTAGTACAACCTTTAAGATTTTGAACTTATTCACATTTGATATGATTATAATCTGTATTTTAAATTTTAACACATTCATTATTTTATATCATGCATCCTTCTAAAATCACTTTAGGACAATCATTTGTATTTTTTGCATCACTACAAAACTACTTTTGATCTGATTTTGTAATCTTAATACATTATTCTTTGAAGATACAATTCTCTTTATCTAATTCACATGCAAATTTATTATATCCTTTTTATTCAGGATCTTTCTCAACACATTCAATTTTTATATCATCATAATTATTATTTGAATTTTTTGGAACTTCTTAGCATTTGAAATTTGCAGAATCATAATAGCAAGGCACATTATCTTTAGTAGTTTAAGCACAAAAGACACCAGAGTTTACATCTTCTATAGAGTTGCAAACTCGATCTTAATAATCTTTTAGATTAGCTTATTTGCATTATTGATTTTAATATTGGCAGTATTTATTTTTTGTTCTTATATTATTACATAAATGTTTGTTTAAATTCTAGTCACAATTCAGTTTCCAAAGTGAATCAATTCCTTTAATTTCCATACACCTACCCTCACTCCATTAAAGTAAGATTTTTTTGGTAATCTTTTAAGAGTTTTATAGATATATCACATAATCAAATATTTCACAAGCTTTTTAGTTTAAAGAAATGACATTTTATATCCCATAATTTAAAAATGACATATCATTATTACCTTAATTATTCATGCTATCTAAAAATTTATAATTGCTATATTCAATGCACATTTTTGTTTCTTTATCATAAAAACAAGGAATATCAATGCTTTAGGAGCAAGTATTTGGATTTGTTTAAAAAGATTTTATACACTTTTTGATTTCTGTATGGTTAGCAATAGCTTAACAACCTTTATTATCTATAAATTCACAATATTATCCTTTTGTTATTATGGCTAAACATTTGTTTTTATTTACTTTATCAGTGCACATTGAATTTCCAAATGAGTTTTAACATTATTTTTTAACCTCATCAAATTCACAAAGCGAATCTTAGGTGTTAAATATACAAGGCATTAAATTTAAGTTTTTGCAGCTATTTTATTTAATCTCACCAATAAGTTTACAAGTTTTTTTTATACTGTCATAACCACATGAATTCTTTTGATCCATTTAACATATTTTTTTATTTACTTTAAATTCATTAGTTGCAATAGATTCGCAATTATCATCTTTAAGAGCAGGCATACATTAATGCAAAAACTTACATCTTAAATTTTCAATCTAGGTACATGCATGTACATTTAATGTGTTTAAACATTCCTTTATAAATGATGGTTATATGTATTTACATTAACCATCATATTAGCAATAATTTTCTACTTCATATAAGCATGCATATTTGTTAATTCCTATTAAATTACAATCTTTTAGTTTTTTATTTAATTTTGCTACTTATATACATTTATTTTAGTTTGGACCATAAATAAGACCAATTCCTTCTCTGTCAAAAACTGAACAAGTTTTTATAGAATAAGGGCTATGTGCACTAATTTAATTAATAGAACTAACTTTTAGGTCAGAACATAATCTATCAGTAAATTTACAGTTTACATTCTAATTTATACAATCCCTATCATTAAATTAGCAAACAGCATCCTAAATCAAACAACTATTTTTGTTTAAATAATCTTTACAACCTTCATTGACATTTTAGATTGTTATACATTTATTATTTAAAAAAGCACAATTATTCTTAGTTTTTAATAGACAAGCATTATAATTTAATCCTTAAGTTTGACAATCATAAAGTTATGATTCTGTGATTTATCTACATTTATAGTTTTTACCTAAAATGCAACTTTAATTAATATTAATTTATGTACAAGTTTAAGCATTCATATGTGATATTTCAGATTAATTTGATAAGAATAAAATACAACTTTATGGATTTTCAGAGAATTTAGGTGATTCACATTTATTATATTTACCAGACCACACACAAGGTTGATATGCATTCAAGCATCCAAATTTATTTAAACCAATACAGTTTTAACTAGGCTATAGTATAAATTATTAACATTTTAAATCTTTCCATATACATGATTCAACCATAGATAAATTACAAGTTGATTAATTCATATAAGAAACACATCTTCCTTTTAATGGATTAAATTTTTCACATAATTTACTTTCTGTATTAAACCAACATAAATT